GTACTCAATGAGCTAGGGACTTTCTTAAAAGTGATGCTTATATATTTTTTTTTTACAACAATTATGTAATCTACGCTTTAGGCAGTATTTTCGTCCAAGATAATTATTCCTTTGATGGTATAACATTATTTTTTTTATAGCATCTGTTCGTTGAGTTGAGATTTAATATTTCAATAATTATTCATTCCTAAACGATCTGTTGATATTCGTAAAATAATTCGGTATCTATTATAGATTATAAAAACTTTGACCCACGTGAGTTAAATAAAAAACGCTTCTCACGGCCTGAAAAACGTCAGAACAACCGCAACTGTCAAAATATCCTAATCGATTACGTATGCTAGGACTCCTTGGTCGGGAGTTTTATAAAAATTCAAATATCGAACAATAGGGAAGGAAGTTGAACCGCAACTTAAAATTACTGAGGCACATCCCTAATTATACTTCGCCGTAATTTAGGAGCCCCTTAGTACGATTGCCACCTCTTTTGTGGCAACAGAAAATCAAATAATGTTAACAGCTTAAAACATTTTTTTTTTCTTGCGGCCTCATTAAATAACGACCGTTCGTAATGGCGCGAATTTAAAGTATTAATTTATGATCACCTGAAATTGTTAATGAATCGAATAGATTTTTATATTGAATATAATAATTACAAATGAAAGTCTCTAAACAAATATGGATTTAAAATGACTGACTTTGATTCTTTACGTCTGATTTTGATTCTTTTTTAATTCAATTTACAATTGAAGTGACACTATCTTTTGAAATGACTTAACTAGGCTCAAAAGTACTCCTATCCAGAGCAGTAAAAAATTTACGAAAAAAAAAAGATATACACATAAGTAATAAGCTAATAACATTCTTAAAGAACTTAAGAACTTAAAATTTCAGTATATGTAATAATAAAATTCTTTAGATATATACAAATATGATTCATTTATAAATCTGTATGCCATTTATATATATATAGGTAGGTCCAGGGCGGCGAAGTAAGTCGATCGTCAATTAATATTAAGTTGGAATCTGTGGGATTCAGCGCCGCTGTCCGAATTTTATAGCGTCGGGCGCCACCCAGGCCGCGGGACAGGGACCACGTGGAGACTCCGATATATATTACATATATATTATATATAAAAAACTTTAATATAATTATTAACTATATTATAAATAAAGAAACTTTTTTTTCAATAAACCGTTCTAAATTTAAAAATATAAAAAAAAAAACAGCGTACTTATCATAAAATGACATGAATATAGAAACTTTTTTCAAACTATTCTAAATTTAAAAATATTAAAAAAAAAAAACAGCGTACTTATAATAAACTAACATGAATATACAAACTTTATTTAAACACTGTTCTAAATTTAAAAATAAAAAAAAATAACCCAGCGTACTTTATAGTTGCTGATTAAATCAATTTCCCACTTGAAGCTAGATGGCTCATTATTGTCACTTATTTACGTCAAATAAGTTACACTACGATCTAATTAAGAGCGATGGAAGACTCGCTTCCTATGAGGATACCAAGTTAATAGAAACTTGACGATATAATGATCTATGAAGAATATTAAGTACGTTATAAACATTATTTAATAGACACTTTGATATATATGAGATATTTTTAAAAATGGAACGTTTAATTTAATGTATGAAACAAAATATAGACATTCCATTTAAACTTCGAGAAGTAATTCAAATATAGAATATACATAGAATAGCGTATATATTATTAATATGTTTTATAATAACAAATATTCTCTACATCTGTCCTGTCCTTAACGGCGCCTAGAACGCAGCGAGCGTCCCGCTACATTATTTAAACCTCCGACAAAATAACACACATAGCTCCAACACCACACCGAGTTTTATTAACCTATAGGACTTTATAACGATTATGATATACTTTTTATTTTCATAATAACCAACTAGTGTTGCACTTCTTTTCTTGTTTGACATTTATGAAACGTCACTTTGACAGTTTCTTTGTTGTCTATGGTGATTTAATAGATTGTTAAGTTTTTAATAAAATAATATGAAATGAGATGGCTTCGTTTATATTAATTTTACATGTCGAGAAAATAAGATTATTCTCTGGTAGGAAAATAATTAAATGTCAAAAAAATGCTCCTTAGTAAGATTAGGGTTGTCGATAGCGTGATTTGAATTAGCGCTTTGAGCGTCTGACATTGAACTTAAGGTTCATTTTAAGACCCTGCCACATAAAATTTTTAATTTTATTAGAGTTATAATTGACATTTTATTGCTTGCAATGAATGAATTCGCAGATAAATAAAATGTAAAAATATTATGTTTTAAAATAATACAAGAAATCTGTTCCCCACAAAGACGTCAGCTATCTCCATAATAATCTACTTCCTTTCATGCAAGCCGACCTTACATTACCAACATGATTTTTAATCGGACCGACGTCACAAATATCACTTTCAACTACTAATCAAGATACACCTGTTAGTGTAACCGATATCCAAAAAATAAAGGTAATTCCATAATAAAAACAATGTCCAATCCCATGTCACAATCATGTTACTAAAACATTGTAATACAATACTTTCGGATAGACAAGAGCCGACCGCAGACTCAGTCCTCGTCTATTGTGTTGAGAAATTAAAAAGTTAAAAGCCATCGTTGCGTGATAGCGACAGCCCTAAAAAAGGGGAGCCAATTAAAAATGTGACGTTCCAAATTCAAATGTCCGTCAATAATTCGAATCGATATTCGATTTTCGAATGTTCTAAAGTTTGTTGGCGGGGAATGTAGAGCGTTTCAGTGACACAATGGCGCTTGAAATAATTGTATTAGTCTATTCCATTTCTCTTATTAATTATTTTATTGTTGTTTTTCGTTAAGGTTTTAAATAATCTATACATGAAAAGTGAATTGACTTACTGCAGTTAAAATAATGGATGAAAGATTTTTAATAATGTGTAGAGATATATTTACGTTTAAAATTGTCACTTAAATTATTTTATATTGTAAGATTGGGATTTTCATGAAATGGAACGGACTCAAAGATAGTTTTATAAAACTGAAAGCAAAATTCATTATAATTTACTGAACATTTTTGTTAAAAAAAAAAATTAAATAAATAAAAAACGCAATATAAAATGATGCTATGAGATATCAAGAAATAATTAACTAAGGATTTACTGAAACTTTTTTCATTTCTCTTAAGAATTCATATATTTCTTGATCTTATCTTAAAAATACATATATTTCTAGATAAATTTGTTTTGAACGAATTACAACTAGAGCCTCTACCTACTTCGAAGTTCTTGAAAAAAAAAAGAATTTTAAATCCATGTCATTCCATTTTCAAATACAACCAATAGTTCCCATTATCTACAATCTTAACAATATCCGTATCCACCAATAGTAGCGGTGCGCGCAAAACAGACACTAGGTGTTAAATTTAACACCATCAACCACAATTAAAAACCAACCCTATTAAATACACATAGATCCCATTTTTCATAAACGGCATCCGTTATATGTTAAACGCACAAGCCAATCTCGATTGTATTCATTTACAATAGAATCGATTTTCGGACATTTGTTGTGTGGCCAGCAATACGCTTATAGGCGTCAGTTTTCACACCTCCCGGCTTCAATTCAATTTGAACCGTATATTAAGTACAATAGGATTGATTTTACATTGATGGTCGATTTATTTTGTGTTCTTTTAAGATGTGAACACAAAGGTGTCGTATTTCTCGCCTGCAGTGTGAAGGGCCCTTATCGTCGGCTCTGATTGGCTGATCGTAGTCGAGGTGTTGATTAATAGAGTTTTGATACAAACTCAACACAAGCTCTCCATTGGCCACAGGTCAACAAAATATCATAACAATATATTAAATCACAGGGCACTGCCATTATAATAAGGCCTTTGTAAAAATTGAAGAGACTTCTCATACTAAGTTAGACTTAAACTTGTACCGATAGCGTGTAGTAATGAGATTGAAACTTCAAGAAATATATAGCTTCAAGATTAAAGTGAACGTAAAGAGCATTAATATCTTCAACAGCCTTAAAAATGCAAAAATATTATATCAAATAACAGCATTTTATACGGGAACCTTGTTCGTGGGATTATATATTGTTAGAGCTCTCTGTAGCTTTGGAGCTACTTTATAATATAGGTGTGTCATGTCTAAATGTTTATATGTCAATATAAGAACCATTTTTCGTTTCTTTTTCAATAATGACGTCACAAAATTTCTTTAATTATAGGTACTAAAGAATAGTTTAATTATTTCCTAAGAAAAATTGCGATAAAAACTATATAATGACAAAGCCTGGAAGAGTTCTAGCTATCTGAATGCAAATTAAAGAGTTCGTGAAAGCCTTTTGTTTTATAGAACTATTATTAGTTAGAAGTATTTCTTAAAAACAAATGAATTAATCGATTTTCTTATATAAGGATACTATTAATTCTGCTTTCGTTAGCGTCTCTTCTGTCGAGTCACGTGACATTTGTATCTTTATCTTTTATGTAATATTATAATAAAAGATAAGATAAAAAGGTATAAATATAACTCTAACGAAAACCCCCAAACCCCAGGACCCTGTGAAATGTATCCACAGTGCACAATAAACATAGGAAAGCTGTTCGTAATGGCGCTATAAATCCAAATGTTTATATTTCTATAAATAACACTATCTCATGGGATTCTATGGGTTATCCTTGCCAAATTATTTGAACACGATACGCTAGCAAATGACACGATACAGTATATACAGGATGTAGCTATATGAATAACATTTGGACACCAAAACAATGTCTTAGGTATACAAAATAAAAGAACACCCTGTATTTAATTGAACAACAACTTAAAGAAGTTTACGCGAACACTTATACAGACAAGAAAAATCCATACAAGTACAATCTACAGCACAGGTTGTGAAATTCTATTAATAATCGATTATGCTACATCGCCTTAAAATGCTAGGGATAAGTAAATCTAAATTTGAATTATAATTGCGTTGCGAATGTCCACTTAGGAAGGCTGTACGGCTGCGTAGACCGCACTGGAATGTGGGGACCACCCTCGGTAACGTCCTGTCACTGACAAATGGCCCGGAGTACAGCTCGACCCGAACACCCTCGGGCTCGCGGTCAGGTTCCATGCTAACTATATAAAAAAACACATATAAATATATATTTTTAGTATAAATATATTTAATTAAATTGAAAAATTCGTACATATATATTATTATTGATATTCGATTAATAATAATAATGTAATGTGCAATATATTTTATGGTATAAATTAATATAATTGTTATAGATTCAAGCAGGGACCACACCGTGAAGGCGAGCCAGGAGGGTGCTATAATTTCATAGGACGGGCGTCGGTCGTCGCTTATCTCGGGCGCTGGCTGCAGGCGCCTCGTACATCGCCTCTAACCACCCACCACCCACCACCCATCACCCACCACCCATACCCATACCCACCACCCACCATGGATATTGGAAATTTCGATATAGACCACATACTTTAGCGTCGGATTTTTATCACTATCTCACCGTCTTTGTGAACTCACACTGATTTTATAAGTGCTGTTATGATATTTGTGACTTGGAGTATTATATATACATATATACATACATATACTTATATATATATATAACATATCTTATGAGGGAGATTTTTATGATACTTAAACAGAATAATTAGGTAAGCTAAAAAAATAAGAAAAATGAAATAATAATAAAAATATTACAATCATCCAATTAAGAACGATAATTATTTGTATGAAATATCAACAAATAAGTTTTAATTCAAATATAAGCAATCATACTCTATGAAAGACAAAAATATAAAATAATACTTCATTTAAATAAACAATAATTTATAGTTATACATGAAAACAGATTATGGTATTAGGAAGACGATTTATTAATTCAATTTACGTACAAAGGTAACGTCTCTGTTGTTACGTGTATGCGTTCGTCTTTGTGTTATTAGCGGTTCACTCTTGAGAAGTTAGTTGATATAATTAGATATTGTATTTAGACAAAATGGATTCAATTCTAATAACAAATAAAGCACAAATTACAATAACATATGTACACAAATATATATCTGAAAATATAAAATGTATGAAATATAAATAATACCGATGCTCAGATAAACAATTTGAATAAAACATGATAGCATATGTCGAGTCCATAACATAACATAAGAAAACGCTGATGCAGGACCTTCATAAAAACCCGAGTCTAGTGGACGTTATAAAAATATATCGAATAAATAAAAATATATAAACGAAATGAGAGTACGGAAAACGTAATCTACTATACTAGGAATAGTTTGGAGTTTTGTTCTTGAGTTTTATATACATATATAATGTTTTAGTTTAATTCTATTATATATATAATAGTTAGTTATTTATCTGATATGTTTTGTTCGACAAAAGGTGATATCTCTGTAGACATTTCCGTGTGGCGTAGAGTGTTTCTTTGGCCGTAACAAATCGAAGGCGCCACGGGTCAGTGGATACCCCACCCTCGTTTTGGGACTTGTCATGTGTGTGTGTGTGTGTGTGTTTGTGTGTTTGTGCGTGTGAGGTAGATTCGTTATATAACACATCTCAAGTGAGCTCTTCTCACGCAATGTTAGCCACTTTCGTTACTGTTTGCAATGCTACTTAGAACGGCTTGTACAATGACGATATTCTTTACGTGATCATGACTGATTACGCTTAGACATATGAAAAACTAAAACTAATATTATAGAGCTTTATAGTTATAAATTTGATGCACATCGATTTGGTCCCAAAACATCGTAAGCCATATATCACATAGAGAGCACATATTCTGTTAATAGTCGTTTATACCATATATAAGTATACAGTCAGATGTCTAAATACAACTGTGAAGCATAAGGATATTCGGACGGAGGAAATGAAGCGGTAAACTCGGTAAGCAAAACATTAACTCCTTAAGGAAGCGAGTAATTAAAAGGGTCGGATAACAGCTTAACTGTTACGGATAAATTGGACGGGCTCGTTCCCGTTCAACTTTAACAAAAATCTTGTTTCATTTCATTATAAAGAATATTTCATACTTAAAATATACATATATATCTAAATAAAGTTTACTTCATTGACTAATAATTAATTAGTCTTTATTTTGTTTATAAATAATTAATAGAAGGGTGAGTGGAAACAGCACCTCGAATCCAAAATTCCGAATCAAAACTTTCTCAAGCAGCCATTGAAATGAAGACGAGGGTGTAACGGCAATGACATTGAAAAGATACTGATAATGTCGAGAACAGATAGTAACATCAAAGACTAATTTAAATTTAGGTACATTCAATATAAATTAAATGATTTTGCGGCAACCATTCGCGGTTTCGTTTATGGGGAACAAAATAAACATTAAATATAGTATATGAAAATGATTCACATATAGAATAATTGATGCTGACCAAAACCGCGTATAATATTTTATAGACAGTTTTAACTGGTTAAAATTAGGAATAAACTATTAGAACTAATATGTTTTTCCCGTTTATCCTTAACTGGCTTCAGGGAAATTGCTTCCTCCCCAACCCGACCCCAGCCTCCCTTCCGGTCCACGTGATAATAAATGATCTAAAAGTGTACACTGCAACACTCAACCGGTCCTAACACTATTATTGCCAGCAAATTTTTATCTCACTTTTAAAATGTAACATTTTTATTTACACTTTATTCTCAATACATTTTATACAATTTATTTAGCTCATACTCAGTTCATTTTACGATAATGTAACATAATTTCTGTCATCGGTTCTTTCTTAGTAGCGATTGTTAGAAAGTTTTCACGTTACGCTCTCGCGAATTAACTGATTGACGATATTTAAATATTATTCAGTTAAAATACTCTATAATGAAGTAAACAATCTCGCTTCATAGAGTTTTATATGAAGTTTTAAAATTAGTTTCTAATGTAGGTAGAAATAGAATTAGGTATAAAGTAGGACGGACTAGTTATCTGATGAATTTGAAGCAAACAGCCCGGACATTCTGCGACGGCCATTTTCCAAACAATTTCTCTCTTTCGCGGGTCAAGAGAGCGTGCTAAAGACTAACGTATGTGACTGTACTGTGACGTCACAGATCATAGCACAGAGGCAGCATAATAACTTATTACGCTTTTCATTTCTTATAAGAATTAAGATTTTGGTATAAAAAAAATACATTAAAATGTAAAAATATTTAAAATTAACATAAAATTAAAATACGAAATTCAAATAACTATAATTTTATTAATTTTTTGCTATTAACGTCGCATTTAAGTTACGTTTGTTATCACGAGCAAGCTCTGTTTTATAGTTACTCTGTACATACCAAAGACTGAAGTCTCTGTCCGCATCAGTTACCTCGAAGTAGGGATGTTCTTAGCGACACGTCGTAGAAACTTTTGCGCATAACAAAGAAGTACCCAGGTATACATATGTACATATATACACAATAAACTAATACAAAAGTTACTATGGTGTAAATGTTACTAATTACTTCTATATTTCATTATTATAATATCGACTTTCAGTCAATTATGGTAAGATAAAACGAAAAGTATCAATAGAAGACATGTCTATTTTTTCCCGCCAACAAAATGACAAAGTAATCGTTCGTAAGTATTTTTTTCTAATCAATTCGGAAGCAACGAGCCAGTACTAATTTAAGTGACGTTTCGGTAGTTCTTTACATGTCCATAATGTGATTTTAATTAAAACCTACTCGCCTAGAATATTACAATGAATTGACGTTTTTTTTTTTTTAAGAAAACCGAATGTTACGGTTTTTAGTTCAAATGAGTCTTTAAGTTGAGAATTGAGTATAATTTACTTCAATATGTTAGTATTATACCAATCGAATTTTAAATCCTAATTACGTATATTTAAGATTGAAATTTTAATGTTAAGTAATTTTCAAGCAAATCAATACATAGTGTTGTAGATACTATCATTCATAAATTACGCTGTTAATTCAGTGTTTAAAAACATTGCCACAGAAATGTAGTACGTATGTATAAAAAAGTGGATTTAACTTTAGTAATACGAAAAACAGAACTTCGATATACGTAAACTTTTATTTGTAATAAAAAAAATCTACGTTTCTAACTGTGATAACTCTGACGCGATGGAAATAACTGCCGACTTTAATTGGCTTTAAATTTCACTAACACGTTGACGTGGTTGGAACAGGAAAAGATAATTGAAATATTTTTGTTATTCTATGGATTCATACGCACTAGAATCGTGGAATATTTTGGCAATTTGAACGTTTTTGTGAGAAATGGAGAAAGAGATAAAGAGTTTGTTAATTGAAATATTGATATCATAATTGACAGTTAGACTTGTCATTAATAACGTCAAAATGTAGATTGTTTTTATATGCTGTGGCTTTCTAGAAAAAAAAGATGTAAAAACTGTTTGAATTATCGTAACTGCTCTCTAAGCAAAATGTGATCATGTTGATTTTTATTACATTAATATATTTGACAAATATTTCTGATATTGAAATTTTAACAATTCCTTAAACATTTACACGGAAAAATTGGTGAAATATATAAAATCATAGTGAATAAAAATTACTTTTATAATAAACTAACAAAGTTTTATTTGTATTTTCAGTTCTGAAATTTCAACTGTTTCAGAACGAAAGTACGGATGTGAACTAGCTGTAGAGGTTACATGGTGGTGAAAAAAATAATATGATTTATATCGCAGTCTATGACTGAAGTATATACAGTACGCATTATAGGCGACAAATTACAACGTCTAATTTAAATCGATTGTTTCAGTTACCGATTCAGTAAAAACAAAGAAAACCTTTCCTACTGACTGTACATCCTTATAGTTATCATATGAAAATGTCATTCATCAAAGCTATAAATCAAAGAACACAAATGTTTCCTCATTGTGATAAGGCAGTGATCATTTCGCCTGTCAGGGGATTTACTTTTTTTTCCGTTTAGAAATTCGCAAAAACTGTTCTTACAGTCGGACAAACAAACATCGGAGACGTTTAGCAAGGATTGCTGTCGGTCCAAATGTCTTTGTGTGTTTTTTCTACAGGATTAGAGCAATCCAATTCTAGGAGAAAGAATTAAACGGTTGCGTTTTGAATCACCGCTTCACTAATTCTGACGTGCATTCTGCGACAATCTGAGCGGATGGGACTTTAAGTGCCACTGGGCTTACAATTATACAGCCAGTTAGCTACACATAAAACCTTCTTTTCTCTAAATCGTCCATTGTCCTTTAATTTCATAGTCGACATAAACTGTTCCTTTGAAACTTTTTTTTCAATCACCTATTAAATGCATATGCCGTTTACATATGTAGGTACGCTACATCGAATATTTCATTACGAAAATACAAATTATTACATACATATAAAAATAAACAAACAAGGGATTATAGAATCGATTAAATCACATTTCGGTATTTCTGAACATATTTAAAACATTGAGAAAAACACGATGGAATGCAACCAGACATTCA